TACAAGACAAAATACACGAAAATATGTTTAAAAATTTTCAAATAAAATTTCAAATAGAAATTGAAAGGAAAAGCAAAGTTTTGTTCTTTGATTTAATAGTTCTAATTGTTTGATTTAATTTACGAACATATAATTTTGGTTTTACATTTCCTATAGCTTAAAACTAAATGGAAGGGGTTACTAGAAACCACCCTACTCCCTACCACCCTCAAAAAAATTTCAACAGCTACTTGATATAAAAGAGCTTCCATTAATTGTATTCTCTCCTCATAGGACCTTATAGGTCCCTTGGCTTTGATTAAGATAACAAAGCTGATATGTATGAATATATGATAATAAGTTGTCTAACTCATTTCAGAAAATATTAACCCTCAATTGGAACATAACTACGCACGGAAAAGACATTTTGACCACACATACAGCAGGGAACCTCTAAAAGGTTAGTAAAAATTACATTTTGTTATGTTCATACATTGCTCTTTTACAACAAATGAAGTTTTCAACCATGTAACTACTATACAAAACAAATTTCTATAGAATGATTTGATTGTTTCTCAATGAAATTATTAATTTCAGGTACCACTGCTCCTGGTTCCATTCTTCCACAACCATCAACCAGTACCAGTTGCCAAAGTACAGCACTTATTGATAACTCGGGTATTAATTTGATATTGTTATATAAGAATATTTGTTTGTTTCTACCTAGAGACACAAAATTATCTTTTAATATTTTTTGTTTTAGTTATTGATGTGAATATGGCTTCAACCTCTGCACTATTGAAGGAACCATTATTATTGCCTGTTAGAGGTTAGTAATGCAATATTGACTCCGCTTTTGCAATTTACTTTGTGTAGCCAAGTGATTGATTAAAATACAAATTTCTATAAACCAATATAAATTTATGTAATTATCTATTTCAGATACTACTGATTCTAGTACCAATCTTCCAGGACCATCATCCAGGACCAGCTGCCAAAGTAAAGCACTTATTAAGAACTCGGGTAATAACCTAATAAGAATATTGAAAAAGCAACAAAAGTAGTATCTTTTCCTACTGCCCCTTTAACTAAAAGAGTGGACCTCACTGGAATGAAACACCTCTTCTTGCACCTCATTCTTATTATAAATCTAATAAAACTTACATAGATTTTTCACAAACTTTTATTTAGTGTTTAAATATACTTAATGTTGAACCCATCTATGCGCCAAAATAAACTACCAAATAAACATTGATGCTAGGATCAATCTCTTAATTTCTCCTTTTATTTTTTCTTCTTTTCCCTTCCTTGCAGTGATCCATCTCCATTTTTTATTATGACTATGATGTACAATTTCTTAGATGCTTATTTCTTACTGCTCTGTTGATGTAATTAAACTAGTCAGAAAATATTTCTTTTTTAGGTTTGAAGAAACGTTTTGTCAAAAAAGTTAAAGATTTGACTCCTACTGCTCAAGCTATTTATAAGGAGTATAGAAAGGCTAAACAACAAAAAGTGATGTTGAAGAGAGCAAATAGAGCATTAAAATTTAGTAAGGAGAAGGCTTTCCAAAAATTAACTAATAACATGAATCCATATGCTAAGCAGATTTTAGAAATGCAAATCAACCTTTGCACCAAAAAGAAAAAAGGGTATCGTTTTTCTTTGCAAGAAAAACTAATAGCCTTGTCAGTGCTGAAACAAAGCCCTAAAGGCTATAGATTTCTGAGGAGAATATTTATTCTGCCTTCAAAATCAACATTAAATAAAATGGTGATGAAACTCAACATCCAAACTGGAATCTCTTCTCAAGTATTTGAGTCATTGAATAGAGAGGTAAGCCTATATATTTAAAGTTTGCTTTTCACTATGAAAATAAAAATAAATTGTATAATAATAATAATTACTATGAATTTTATTTATAGGTGACAGGCTGGAATGATAAAAAGAAATGGTGCTCCCTGATATTTGATGAAATGTCCTTAGCACCTGCATTAAATTATGACAAAAAGAGGGATTTTATTCTCGGTTATGTTGACCTTATTGAAAGGAAAAGGAAATTTGCAGACCATGCCTTGGTTTTCCTACTTAGAGGTGCTGTTTATAAATGGCAACAGCCAATATGTTATTATTTTTGTGAAGGCGCCACTTCAGGCATAGAACTGAAATATATTATTAAAAATATAATAACTGCGGTTGTGGATTGTGGGCTAAAGCCAGTTTCTTTGATTTGTGACCAAGGGTCGGCTTTCCAGTCGGCTTTAAAAAGTCTGACTGAGGAAACAAAACGAGACCAAATCCATGCTAATCAAGAACCAGGTTAGTTTTATTTCATCAGACATTTTAAATTTCTTTAAATGCTGTTCTTACATCTGTAGGCATATTTACTTATTTTTTTAACACTTGAAACTGATAATCACCGAACCATTTATTGATACAACACTACTTCACTCTAACGCTATTGTGGCCCTTGTCCTGTAAAAACAGCAATGGATAAGTAAATAATTCAGTGCTTATCACTTTCAAATGTCAAAAAAGTTAGCATAAATGCCTACTGATCATAGTACATATGTCATAACACGCCTTATTACTAAATGGCTCGGCAGTCTGTGTAAAATGTGTAATCAAACAAGCCATCTCTGCTTATGGTTAGGTTCGGGTTATTTTTATATCTAAGCAGAGTGGAATTATTGTCACCTCCACCTATTACAAAACAGTATCTTATGCAATAAGTCAGCAAAAAAGTTTATTAACATTATATAAATAAATTGTATTTAATAGAATTTATTTTTCAGATGGCACTGTGAAAATCAGAGGGCTGAATTTAAATGTTATTTATGACCCCTGTCATTTGATTAAGGGGTTGCGGAATAACTTTATAACTAAAAATATATCAATGGATGGGAGAACTTCCAAATGGACTGATATTGTTGATGTCTACAAAACAGACTGTAGTCATGCTGAGGTCAGGCTACTGCATAAATTGAATGACGAACATGTTATTCCAGAAAAGATAAAGAAAATGAAGGTGGGTTCTCCTTCATTAATACAAAGAAATAATCTTGCAAAGCTAGTCGTAGTAGTTACAGTCAGCATCAAAAGTATAATCATCTGATGCTGACCATATCATATATGTCTTACATAATATCTGGTTGGTGGTCTTACTTATTTTGTCTTGTCAACATTTTATTGAAATTTGTATTTTGTTATAGGTAAAAAATTGTGTAAAAGTATTAAGCAGTACCATGTCTGCTGCATTATCGTACACTGCAAAATTTTGTAAGTATATTTTATAATACTGAATAAACATTTAGTTCTGTTGTACTGAAGTAAAAGGTGTGTCATGCTCATCTTAGATAAAAATAAAATTAATTTAATGTTATTTCACTACAGACAAAGTAATGGTCATAATATGACATGGTACAACAGGACTCATAAAACAATCTATAGATAGTATAGTACAAAATTGCTCTATATGTACCCCTAAAACTTTTAATCTAGGCATCGGATTCCATGCAGTTTTTAGCAATAAAGAAGAATGATCGAAGAGGAACATTTACATATATATTATAGTATACATTGCATTCGTACGAAGCCGGGGCGGCTGTTTAGTATAAGTTATAAATATTTGTAAAAAGACATTATTTTTATAGGATGTTTAAAAAATTGTTTCAGCGCACTATGCCGATGGTAGACCCGTCAGTGAAACCCTGGACAACACCGCAAAGACTGTCTTATTCTTAGACCAATTATTTGACAGCGTAAACGGAGCCTCCATGTTAGGGAAAAAATCTAAAGGGAAGTGTCTACGAACGGCGGTCACAAATAATTCACCGCATCATGTATTTTGGAATGAATCTATAAAAAAATTACAAAATATGAAATATGTCGATAGTACGGGAACAGAAAAGTCAGTGCCCTCATTGGCAAATTTTATAACTACATTAAAAAGTTACCAGAGGCTGTGGCAGCTTTTTAAAAAAGAAAATATGAGGATAATGCGTCCGAGATATTTTAATTCTGACCCTATTGAAAATTTCTTTGGGCAAGTGCGAGCCTATAATTTTAGGAATAATGACCCAGACTGCCACAGCTTCAGCTGCACATATAAATCCTTACTGATAACTAGGATACTAAAATTTCATAATGAAACGTTTAATTGTGAGGATGACCCGGCTGATCAAGTACTTAATTTGCAAACACTGTTTGATAACAGAGATATCATGCCGGGTCATCCCAGTATTGATATGATTTTAGAACAGGCACGAAGAGAAAAAATAAATGTACACTCACGGGCCTATACTGCTGGATGGGTAGTGCGAAAGGTATTGCAAAATTTAAAAAGTGGTTGCACAACATGCAAAAATTCCCTCACCACCAGGAACTTAACTAATATACATGACTGGATAAGTCACAGAGAATATACAAAAGCTAAAAACCGGTTGCACTACCCATCAGAAGGTGCAGTAAGGTGCTTTGGTACAATAATTAACGAATCAAATGAATACTTAGAAATAAAAGGACATGAAACAAATATAGCCAAGAATATAAAAGAAGTAGTTATTTCTAAGTATTCATTTGATTTTATTGTATGTACCGAGCACAAGTTATTGGTAATAGATAATTTTGTAAATTTAGTTATTAAATTTGCCATAATCAATTGGTGCAGAACAATAAACAAAATACTAAAGGGCACTGACATTTTCCGATTAAGTAATCGTTCTTTGCCTATGACGCAAAAAATGGCGTTGGAAAAATATAATAAAAAATTAAAAAATAAATCTTTTAATAAATAATTCATGTGTTTTATTCCTTCCTTCCTTTAATTATCAATAAAAATTCCGATTAAGTGGGATACCTAGGTACCTATAATTTTATGGATGAATAAGTTGAGACCCTTTGACAAAATTTTAAAAAGTAAGTAAATGTCATGCAAGACTAGAAGTACTTGTGTAGACGCTAACTTTTTTTTGTACTAGAGAGTCGGTCGTCTGATACGTAGTATCTCTAACTAGTCTGTGTTTCGAACTTTTACCTCATGTTTTTAATCTTTACCGCCAAATTATTAAAAATACGAGAGCATTGTTTTACATTACAATACTTGTTTGATTAATTTAGCTGGCGAAATCCACAGAAGAATACTAACAATTAGCAGAAGAAGGAGAAAGCTATATAACTTTTATAACCTAATTACAAGATGGTAAGTTTTAAATCTGTCGTTTCAGGTACATCCGTAATAACCTAGTCTGCTATCACATATTTATTTGCAGGTGGGTCAATATGATGAAAACTTATTACCGGATATGCTACCAATTTATTACACAAAGTACTTCCCGCAGAATATATTTTGTAGATGGCTTTCATGTGGAAGTAGTCCTCAGCCACTTTCAAACCGAGAATTATCATTCACCTTAGCTGATGACGTTTATTTACGATATTTATCTATATGTGATCAAAAAGAGCTTCAAACCTTATTCCAAAAGAAATGTCCTCACAAATTGGATATTGGTGCTGTGTATAATACCAAGTAAGTAACTTCATAATAGGAAAAAAGTGAAGTTCTGTTAACTCTCAGATCAAATTATTTAATCTGAGTGTTATACTATGATAATCACGTCCAAACTCCAGATCATTTACTTGTTACTCATTTAACAAGTAAATATCTACAGAACATTGATTGGAAATTTATTGATTTACTAGCGGCCCGCCCTCGCTTCGCTTCGGTGTAGAGCTGAAACGTAGACTACAGTTTTTGTTCTCAGGCTTGTTTTATACACAATGACATTCATCTATGATTATACTTATACCTGCATGCAAAGTCTCAGCCCGTTCGGTTTTAAAATTGACAAAGTTTCATACAAACTTTCATTCCCTATTTTATCCCCTTGGGGGTAGAATTGATCAAAATCCTTTCTTAGCGGATGCCTACGTCATAACATCTACCTGCATGCCAAATTTCAGCCCGATCCGTCCAGTGGTTTAGGCTGGGCGTTGATAGATTACTAAGTCAGTCAGTCACCTTTGAGTTATATATATATAGATTATAAAAAAAACTGAAGATGGTATATTTATCTTTTCCAAACTTCTATTGACATCACGTCGCTCAATTGTTTTGCCTTCCCAGAATCTCTCCACTAACATTTGAAATTTATGGTATGGTATTAAAGTTCAAATTGACTTTTAAGTATTATTACGAATCGTTAAAAATCGTAGTAAAGAAAAGTATTGTTTTTTGACATTTTCAGGCATTTTTTTAAATTTTTCTCTTCGTAAGAACCATCCTCGTACTTCAAGGAATATTCTAAAAAAAAATCAGCCAAATCGGTCAACCCGTTTTTATGTTATGTTGTGACAACGGAAAACGGGTTTCATTTTTATATATATAGATGAGGAAATTTATATTGTAAAGTTAAATTTTATATTTGCAGGCCTTCAATAGCTCGGCATGACTCAGTAGTGTTGGCTAGAGAACTTGTATTTGACATTGATCTTACAGATTATGATGAGGTACGAACATGTTGTAAAGAAGCCAAAGTCTGTGAGAAATGTTGGAAATTTATGGTGATTGCCTGTGAGATAATTGATAAAGCCCTTAAAGGTAGGCCCAATTTATAATAATTACCTACATACATACATTTACACCCTACATCCTTGTGGGGTTACAGAAGCTTTAATAGCAGTGGCAACATCACTTCTGTTTAGAATTACTAATCAGGATTTATCTGCACATGGCTTTTGTACTATTTCTGGTTGTCAGAAATTCAAAATTTCTTGATTTTTACCTGGGCTGCGAATTGATGTGATAATTATTTTTATGGATAATGACGTATCTGATAAATAAAAACCAATTTAATAGTGTTTTTTTCTTAATCATACATGCCATCAATGATGATGACCATGATACAGTTTTGCCTGAGTTTGGATACAACCTATAGATGTTACAGCTAGTTATATGTTTTTATCAATGATAATTATCCCCTGTGCAGCCATGATTTTAATGCTGCTGCTGTTGCCTCACCGCACTCAGCTAACACCTTTAGTTGAATATCTAAATATATTAATTGTTAACAGAAGTGATAGGTTGTTTAGTACATACCTATCACATCACTCTGTCAGCATGAGAAAATTAGCAGCTATTGAATTTTGTTTACTTCAACCCAAGCCAAGAAAAATCACAATTACTACCAGTCTCTTATTAATATCGGTCCATGTACGGTCGCAGTCAGAAAATGTTTACCACCTTAAGGATCATAATTGCATGCACACATTTAGGTCACAAGTTCTAAATGTATATTTTATAATAATTTGATTGACCATAGATTATATTTTTTGTAATGATATGACAATCAATCGCTCTAGGCGATGGACTGACTACTATCAAGGTTTGATATATACACACAGTCAGGTCATAAGTATTGTCTCACAATAAAAACTTTTCTTTTAGAATGCTGGCCACAAAAAAGTTTATTGAATTGGAATTTCGAATTGTTCATGAAAATAAAAATGTATACTTTTTAGAATTTTACTCATTTTTAAATATAGAGTGGACGCTTAAAGAAGACCATGTTGCAGTTATTGCGTTGCATTGTTGCAGTTACGCGCCAATTCAAATTTTTGACATACTCTAAATTTTGAATATAACCAAAAGATTTGTTTAATGTACCATCAAACAATACAATGAACATTCTAGTGTGGATGACAGGTCAAGAAGTGGTCGCCCTCGGTCTGTTAGGACTCCAGCAGTGATAAATGCTGTGAAGGAGCGAAACCCCAAATGTAAGCAGAAACTGTTGGCCCTTCAGATGGGGTTAAGCAGAACCACGGTGAAAAGGGTGTTAAATGAAGACTTAGGGCTTCGGGTATATCGAAGAAAAACAGGACATCTTTTGAATGCTCGTCTAATGGACCTGACACTGAAGAGATGCCGCGCTTTGTTGAAGCGGTAAGCGGGAAAAAAATATTGGAAAATTCCTTTTCGGATGAAAAAAATTTTACCGTAGAAGAGAGCTACAACAAACAAAATAAGGTGTTGCATACACAGTAGTGAAGAAGAAAGAAGAAGCGAGCAACCGTGTTCCGCGTGTCCAACGAGGTCATTTTCTTTCCATCCTCGCTCATGGTATGTTTGGGAGTTTCTTATTGGGGCTCTACACATTTTTGTGAGAAAGGTGTAAAAACGAATGCAGTTGTATATCAAAATACAGTCCTGACGAACCTTGTGGAACCTGTTTCACATACCATGTTCAATAACAGGCACTGGGTATTCCAACAAGATTCGTCGCCAGCTCATAGAGCGAAGAGCACACAAGACTGGCTGACGGCGCGTGAAATCGACTTCATCCGACACGAAGACTGGCCCTCCTCCAGTCCAGATTTGAGTCCGTCAGATTACAAGATATGGCAACACTTGGAGGTGAGGCGTGCTCAAAGCTTCATCCCAATTTGGAGTCATTCAAGACATCCTTGATTAAGGCAGCCGCCGATATTGACATGGACCTCGTTCGTGCTGCGATAGACGACTGGCCGCGCAGATTGAAGGTCTGTATTCAAAATCACGGAGGTCATTTTGAGTAACTTTATTGTCATAAGAATTTATGTTTTGTAAAGTTCATTTTGGTATATAAATGGTTACATAATGAATAAACTTGTTTCAATTATTTTATATTAAACATGTGACAGAATTTATGACCTGACTAGGTATATATATATTTTAAATACTTCGCCTCACGCTAGGATTTCCTTCTGTGTCTATCGTAGGTGTAATTCAAACATATAATCTCACAAGCACATTGCACATACGCACAGACCAGGTCAAATTTCTGTAGGCCATACAAAATATCTGTGCCGTACGGAAATCGAACCCGCGACCCGTTGCACAGTAGGCGACGACCTGCACTAGCTGTGACGTCAAACAAATATAGAAAACCACTGAAAAAACTAATATTTTAGTTTTTTAACTAAGTATATGAAGAAATAATAAAATAGAAACTTCAAAAATCTTTATTTAATATCTAGTATAACATCCTCTGCAGCTATAACGGCACGTAGTCTATCTCGCATAGATGCAACAAGATGCGCGCATAGATCGGTCCCTCTAGTATCATCCCATACTCGAGCACAGTGTGATCTAAGATCATGAGGGTTCCTTTCATTTTGACAGTCCCAGCATTGAACCATAAGCCCTCATAAATATTCAATAGGGTTTAAATCAGCAGACCGAGCGGGCCATTGAATGGGACAAATTGTTAAAGGAGTTTATATTCTTTTGATAATAAATAAATAATAAAGTGAATGCCGACTTTATTATGTCATAATTTTTTGATAATAGTTTCGATGATGGTAGCAGTGCCTTAAAAGTTATGGAAAAATCAGAGCTCGTGATAAGCAACAATTTTTATTTGGAAAACATTCTGTGGTAACACGATATTTTTTCATCATGCAGTCACCAAGTTGCAAAATTGATATTGGTCACAAGATACGAAAAATTGGACTACATAGAAATTCAAGGCCACATTATTATTACGAGGTATGCCTGGTGCATTAGATGCCATTAACGGTAATTTAGAAAAACTGGTTAAGCCTACTACTAATAACGCTGAAGAAATTTCTGAATATCAAAAAGCTCTCGATAAATACAATCACATTGATAGTTCCGCATTACTATTACTAACTGCGAATATGTCAGATGAAACCCTACAGAAAATAATGCGCTTCAACTCATGTAAAGACGTTTGGGATGGATGAACTACATCGTTTATTCGATGGTATGTCGGAAGATAAAAAGTTATGCCTTATGTCTGGAGTTTTTCAGCTATCGTAATGATCTATCTTACGACATTACAACCCAAATTTCCAAAATTACAACACTTATGGTCAGATTTGAAAGTTGAACTTGTCAAAACAGAAAAATGCGAATTACCGGTTATTTTATTAATTTTTAAAATTCTGGATATCATTCCTGATAATTATTTTGCTTTCAAATCAAGTTGGATGTTGATGTCAATGACAGATATAACTATAGAAAATCTGACAACGCAACTCTGTGCGTACGAACGCTCGATTTCATTGAAGAATGAAAATTCTACGGAAGCGCTCATTGCACATAGTAGTAATAAGAAGAAATCTGGATATTGTGGAAAGGTTGGTCACAAAGTCAGACAATGCCAGAAATGGAAAGCAGACGGTAAACCATCTAAGCCTGAATCAAAACCAACATTAAGTAACTCTAACATCAATCTAATGCTGATGCAAGTCACTACAACGCGAGAAGTGTATTCGATGCGGTCTAACGATGACATTACAAGTTGGTTCGTCGACAATGGTGCAACAAGTCATGTATCTTGTCGCAAGGACCACTTCAATAGTTTCCAACGTTTTGCCGATGCTCGTACACTGACTGTAGCTAATGGAACTGCTGTAAAGGCTATTGGAAAAGGTACAGTTAACTTGAAAGTGTTAATTCATGGTGAAGAATCAAAGATAACTCTTTGTGATGTATGGTATGTACCTGATATTATGCGAAATTTATTTTCTGTGCTGGCTGCTCAAGACAGATTAGACAACAGTGTTTTTATATCTGAACGGGAACACTGTTCACTAAAAGTCGATGGCAAAATACGATTGACTGGCAAGAGTCAAATATGGAGGTTTATACAAACTCAATGTCGAAACTATCAGAAAGTCAACCCCAGATTTGAACGTTGTGCCATCACATAACCTGCTTCAACTTTACCATGAACGGCCCACCAGAACAAGAAACACGCCAAAGAACTTATTGAAAGGGAACTTGGTATTAAAGTTCGTTAAGATTCTGAATTATGCATCGGATGTATTTATGGAAAACACACACCGAAGAAAATTTGGAACTAGTGAACGAGCTAAAGCACCTGCGGAAATTATACACGCCGAAATGTGTGTGGTCCTTTTCCTCCTTCCTTCAATAAATTTAAATACTTTGTTCTGTTCAAAGATGATTACAGTAAATATCGACACGTTTACCTAATAAGACATGATACGGAAGTTCACTTAAAGCTCCAACAAATGTTACAAGAGTGTAAAGTAGCCAGATACTCTGTTAAGGAATTCCTTAGCGACAACTGAGGAGAATTTGATAATGAGAATGTGAGACGCATTTTATCTGAAGCTGGTATAAGGCAAAGGCTCACAATTCTCTATACACCTCAACAAAATGGCGTAAGCGAGCGTGAGAACAGAACTTTGGTCGAAACCGCTCGTACAATGATACACTCTCATCAAGAATTACCCGTTGCTACGTGGGCAGAGTTAATAAATACTGTTACATACATACTGAACAGAACTGGTCCAACATCAGAAAATAGTAAATCACCATTTGAGTTGTGGTTTAAGAAAAAACCAGCAATTAAACATCTCAAAGTTATCGGATGTGAATTTTACGCTCAAGTTCCACAACCAAAACGAACAAAGCCGACTAAGAAGGCAGAGAAATGTATCTTAATTGGATATGATGCTGATGAATGCTATCGCTTACTGAATAAGCATGGTAAGTTGGTGAGGTCAAGAGATGTAATCTTTGATGAATCGGTATTGGAGTCGACTGGTTTAGATGACTATGAAGAGCATCCTTCAATCGAAGTCACCATACCGCTTACAACATCACCAATGTGCAATGCAAGGGAGGATAATCGCAATGAGAGCAGTAATCGCATTGAGTCTGAGACTATTACAGCAAACAGTCATCAAGAGCAGAGCTTAGCTATGCCTTCCACATCACTTGGACGTAAGTCAGGAAGAAGAAAGCCAAGACCCTACTGAACCATCACCAACTATAACACCACCAATGACGTCAACTTGTGAAGCCTTCGATGATAATAATGTTGACAATGCTGATGATTTACAAAATTCAGATGACTCACTAGAGATAACACCTAGAATGATTCTACGAGATAGAAGTCAGCTACGACCACCTACTCGATTCGATGATTATGTCATGATGTCAGCGGAAGTAATAAATGGAATCGATGAACCCAAGACCTATAACGAAGCAATGACTAATCCTCAGAAAGATCAATGGGTCAAAGCAATGGAGAGTGAGGGAGAACAAAACATGGAAACTTGTTGATCTTCCTAAAGATTGAAAGCCTATATCCTGTAAATGGGTGTATAAAATCAAAACCAATGCAGATGGCCCTCTTGATAAATTCAAAGCTAGGCTAGTAGCTCGAGGTTACACACAGAAGAAAGGCATCGACTATGATGAGACATTCAGTCCTGTTGCTAAGATGACAACGGTAAGATCAGTCTTAAGTGTAGCTGTAAATGAAGGATTAAAACTCACACAGTTTGATGTTTTTACCGCATTTCTGTATGGTTCATTCGACGAAGTAATTTATATGAAGCAACCTGAAGGCTATACAGACGTATCGAATAAGGTGTGTAGATTCAAAAGAAGTCTATATGGTCTAAAGCAGGCTCCACGCTGCTGGAATAAAGGTATGGTAGATTATTTGAAGACCATTGGATTCAAGCAGTGTAATAGATCCATGTCTATTTATTCGAAAGCGTGGAAATAATAAGATTATTCTCGCTCTATATGTGGACGATGGCCTTATTGCCTATACAAATCAGAAGAACTCTGATAAGTTTATATTAGAGCTAAAGAGAAAATTCAAAATCACAGTCAAAGACGCTTCATATTTTCTTGGATTGGATATAAAGATCTCAAATGAAAACATAAGAGTGTTTCAGAAACATTATGCTCAGAAATTCCTGGATAGATTTGAAATGAGCGACTGCAAGCCTGTCAGTACTCCTATGCAAAAGGATGGAATAACAGATTGCGATAAAGAACAGAATCCAATAACATATCCTTATAGAGAAGCTGTTGGTGCGCTTACATACCTAACAGTCGGTAGAAGACCTGACTTGTCTTATGCTGTTAGCGTCGTATCTAGAACACTGGACGCCGCCTGGAGTAAAGAAGATCTTCATAAGCTAAAACGTATCCTAAGATATATTAAAGGTACTTTGGATTACGGAATAGTATATGAGAGGAATTTCAATACTGGCATTCTGGATTGTTATAGTGAATCTGGCCACGATAGACAATACCACCCGACATCAGGGATAATATGCTTATATTCTGGAGGAGCAATATCTTGGCTGAGTAGAAGACAAACCTGTGTGGCAATATCCAGCACCGAAGCAGAGTTGGTCGCAGCGAGTGAAGCAGCACGAGAGTTTGTCTAGATTAAAAGACTTTTTACCGAGATTTCGTATCTAAAAGAGGTTCCCAAGCTCAAGGTGGATTAGAATGATGGGTTCAAGGTTCTTCTGTGGAGTTCCGGGTTATGTGAGATCTTTATAGCGGATAAAGATCTCAAATAACCCGGAACTCCACAGAAGAACTAAGCATATTGGTCTAAGACATTACTACGTCAGAGAACTAGTCACTGTGACTAGTTCTATGATCCCAGTGAGTTCCAGTTAGCGGATTTGCTAACTAAGGGTGAGGCCAAACGAGCGTAATTTTGTGAGTGGCAGAATTTCGGTCGCAGAAATTCTGCTGCATTCGGTTTCATACAAAAAGGCAGTTGGTGCCACACGACAACGCAAAATGAGTTGTCTGCCGACTCAATGCGCATAAGCTCGTCCGAATTTCGGTCGGGGTGAGGGTAGGGCAAGGAAGGGGAGTGGGGAAGCAACAGTTTGTTACAAGTTGCGTGGTGTAATAATTCTTGAAAAACACGTAATGGCATATGATAGTACTTTTCAAACATATCTGGATTTGCACATAAACGTTCATATAAAGTATGGAACTGTCCACATATCAGCCTCTGACTATTCAGTGGGTTTACCCAGTTTCTTTTCCTGGCCTCATCTTCTGAATATGCTTCGTAAATACACAATATTTTTAATGGATCCATTGCACTCGACGACACGAACACCCCGTACTAACGCTCAATAGTAACTGAATAAATTACGTTCGTATGGCAGCTCAACAGAAATTCAGTTGAACGTAAAATAAGTGACCGAAAATAAGCGACTCACAACTCACAAAATTACGCTCGTTTGGCTTCACCCTAAGGCATTACATAAGCCACGGATTGTGTCAATTGCTACGCACACAGGCTTGATACAATGAGTCTTGCCAAAAAGGGAGGATGTTAAAGGAATTTATATTCTTTTGATAAATACTCTTTATAATTTTGTTAACCCTATTTTTGTAATCTGTCATGTGTGTCTTATGACGCAACCGTTGTTTTTCTATTTTAATAAATATTATTCTGATCTGTCATGTGAATGCCGACTATATTATTTCATAATTTATTGATAAAATAGTTCTATCACGAATGTCACGGTGCATGTTGAACCACGCCAAAGAAGCAGGGGCCGTGTGTATCCGTGCATTATCTTGAACATAAGTAAATTTATTTACATTATCGGAAACTACACTTCTGCCAAAAGCGACACATAATTAATGGTAGTAGCCCTATTCTCTAACGACGCCAGTTCTCCGACGCCGTCGAGGCTCATCCACCCCCATAAGTTTACTGTTATACGACCTGACTCGTTTTGAGGCACGATATGAGCTTCATCATACCGAGTTCGATTATAGCGCCATAAAGTTAATCTTCCGATTTGGCTTGATTTAAAGGTTTTCTCATCGGTAAATATAGTATTCGACCAAGCAAAATCATGATGCCGCGCAAAGTTAAGCAGGGCTGTTTTGTGGTGAGGTGTCTGTAGTGTAGTCCAGCACTGTGCAAAGCTCGTAGGATCGTCCGAGCACTCGCATCAAATAAAGCAGCAAAATAACTAGTTGGTGTGAAACCGTTCTCTTCATAACGACGAATCATTTCTGTTATTTACGCGGCGGTTAGAATTAGTCGTCGTCCTGAATTATTTCTATGATCTGTTAAGTGCCCTTTTTCGTTGTGACGCCGGATCCAAAACCTCACATTGAATCGCGATATATAGAGTTCTCGTGATACATCACTAATACTTGTCCATCTTCGAAGAGAAATATTATTTCAGCCCTTTGCCCCAGTGTTAAACTTGTTGTTTTATTTCGCTATGAAAATATTATTCGTAAAATTTTGCTCTGGTCCAAACTATGTTCAAACAATCATTTTTTTATAAATGTCATTTCAACAAATAAAGAAATGAGTTTCAATATCAAAAAGTATTATATAATTCTTTTTGTTATTCTCGATGCGTCATTAACATTTGAAAGGTAATAAGTAAGTTACCTACTTGTTATGGCATTTTAGACTATAGTGAAAAAAGGGTTACATAGAATCTAATTTCAAATCTGGTAAACATTTTCTGACCGCCACCGTATATTAAACACATGATAAACTGTACAATGCTTTTTTATAAATTTAATCTAAGTATTTCTGATGCATTATATATAACCACACATTGTATTACAATGGAAAAGCTACATTTTGTTTATCAAATCATTGATTAATAATATTTTGAATTTTATTTTTTTTCAGATGACTTTGGTTTCCAGAGTATACTATGGGTATTTTCAGGAAGACGTGGTATTCATTGTTGGGTATCTGATTATGAAGCTAGGGTACTTGACAGTCCAGGGAGAGGAGCTGTTGCAGATTACCTCTGTTTGATTATGGGTGGTGAAAACCAAAGTAAGAAAGTGAATTTGGGAAATGACAATTTGCACACAAGCATCAGGTACTTGCTCTTATTACTGGCTAGAGGCCGCCTGCGACTTCGTCCTCGTTAACTTTGGTTTCTTAGCAACCTAATTTTTTGATGGATAAAAAGTAGCCTATGTCCCAATCCAGGTCATAAAATATATGCATACCAAATTTCATCCAAATCTGTTTAATAGTATGTGCATGATTGAGTTACAAACATACAAACTTTCACATTTAGAATATTAGAAGGATGACAGCCATATCCACCAGTTCATTCTTTAAATATTTGATAACATGCTGTTTCTTTATTAATTAAAATTCTTAATGTTTTTTTAAAATAAAATCTATTATATGTATTTAAGGCGTGCATTGGATGTAATAGACAAATATTTTGAAGAAATTTTACAAGACCAAGAATTTTTTGCAACTGCTGATGGGTTAAAAGCTCTTTTAAAACTTATACCTGACGAAACACTCCGTTCACAAGTTGAGAAAAAATTGGAGAAATTGCCAGAATGTTCATTAGAAAGATGGAGACAATTTACTTCCCTTTATGATTCTTATTGCAGAGAAGTATGTTATTAATTTTTAACCAAAAACTTAGTTTAATAATATCAAGATGCTAGATAATATCCTAACTACTTTATACCCAGGAAACTTCTTGGGCATTAACCATATATAGATAAGGAAGCCTGCGCAGTAGCAGCCATTTTACATACAAAAAAGGCTGTTGTGCAAGTTTATATGTGCTTTTGCTGCTACCTATACCAATAATAAAACTCATTCATCATTTCAAGTTACAACTTCCAATCACTTAAAATTAAGTTTATCATAAACTATGTTACGATTACATTAATTTAACATTATTGTTTCAGAATGGGTTTGCTATTAGAAAAATGAAATATCTAGTAGAAGAAATTAAAATACAATATTGCTATCCCCGTTTAGATGTGAATGTTACAAAGGGATTTAATCATTTGCTGAAGTCACCATTTAGTATACACCCAAAGACGGGCAAGGTCTCCATTGTTTTCAAACCCAACAACGCAAGGAAAATGAAACTGAGTGATGTACCCACTATATACTCACTTCTTGATGATAGCTCTGCCTACAGTGTTGAACATCAGAATAATATGAAAACATCTGTAAAAAACTTTCAAGAGGTAGTGTTTTCATTAGAGAAAGCAGAGGCAATGAGAAGAAAAAATGATGCTAGTGAGTAGTTTTTACATAGTTCCCCTAACAGACTAACGGCCGTACTCAGGGAAGTCGATTAACTTTAAATTTTATTAAATTATCATTTGCCATGCGGTCACAGCCACACCTTTACTGAGACTACAGGTGATTTAATAAGCATTAAATTAATTTGATGTTTTTGAATATGGCTGTAAGTCAACTTAAATAATGGGTTGCCCATTTGACAACAGTCAAAATGAGGTTATAATTTGACTGTCATATTTAACTGTCCAAGCGAAGCCAGTTAGTTTAGAAAATTTTTACTTTACTTTAGAGTTAGTCTAGGCTGTTGATCCACTGTCAAATTATGACCTAATTTTGACTATCGAGCGTCAAATGGTGCAATCCATTTTTTACCTAACCGGTACTTTAACTGAACAGTTAAAGTAAGTTAGTGCAATTCACCCTTAAATACACCACCAGAGCTCAAAAATATTATTTAACTGAATTCTGGATCAAAAATCCAAAATAACATTTAAAAGACTTTCTTCATTGTTGCAGATATATCATTGGAGTTCTAAGTTGTAGACTTGGGAAAAGTACCTTTGTTAACATAATATATAACAAATAAAATAAAAATGCAGTTGTCCCCCAAATAAGCAGATTTTATTTAATTTTATACAAAAAATATGAAGCTCAAACATAGTTTGCTATCATAGCCATCACTTTCTTAGTGTGCACTTAAATAATAAAATGTCATTTACCTATAAATTATAAATTTGTATATGCGATAAATATAAGAATGCTACAAAACAATTAATTTGCTTTTTCAGCACACTTGCTCAAAAAATGCGTTTACGGAGGTTATATACATTGTCCGAAAGTTCAAAATTACGGGCCATTATAATTACGCATCCATCGTAGCGCACGGTAAAACATTTTACCACACGATCCCATACATGGCGCCGTGTGTAGTCTTTACGTTTTTTTTTTCATTTCGGTCAAACCTCCTTGGAAGTACTTTTAATCTACACTTTTATATTACTTTTATACAAAAAACAAGAGACGAAAGGTGTAGTTCTATTTTTACCACCCGCACGTGACGCAATTTGGAAATGCGCGCTATTTTTTTTTTTAGAAAAAGTTGCTTCTTTACTTAAATTAAGTAGGTATAGGTACTGTTTTCTCGCAAATGTGTTGAATAACGTATGACATTCGTACGAAATAGGTATTTACAAACTCGTGACTATGGTAAGACCTCGACTTCGCCTCGGGCTTACATTCGTCTACTCGTTTGTAATAATCAAGTTGCCGCACTAATATCATAAATAACTATTAAATTTTAATGTCAAAAAATAATAATACCTACCATTATAATAACCAATAAGACAATATAAAAAATTCATTAAAGCCAGATTTCTGCAACTCTCATTTAATGTTAAGTTTTAACACCTAACGCCAAGTAGTAGTATGTTTCGTAAATACTTTATTTAAATAATCATAATGTGCACAGATCTCATTGTCAGTACCACAATCAATAATATCATTAGGATGACAAGGCACAGTCATTAATACTCTTTTCTTTCAGTTTCCTTTCATTCCTGGAGGCTGATTAACCAAGCTCTGGTTTTATATTTTACACACAGAAAAGACGTAAAGGCGAAATTACACTTGGTCGTTAGCCTGTATTCGGATGCACGAAAGTGTTACTTGATTTCGGGCACCCGAAGCAATAATTACATTGTTTTAGGTCGGGACTCCACCAAAGCAGAGATGTGTGCGGTGGGCTGTGTGCTATGCGAGAAGAGATGTTTTTTTTCAGCTCAGGAGCGAGGCGTTGAGTGCGGGAGTTGCTGGCGGGCGAGAGGGGGAGGGTGACACCGATTACACATCTCCGCACAGTGATCTCCACTGAAGCTGAGCGGAGAGGAGATGTGTTAATAACACAATTCTATTGATTGTTTAAAAAACATCTCTCCGCTCGTCTCGTCTCCGCTTTGGTAGAGTCCCGGCCTTGCGCTCACGTTCGGGTACTGGAACACGGGCAAACGACCCTACACCCGCGTTCTAGTTAGACAGATTGGGGGGAACCAAAACGGATACGGACGTACTCGACTCCGTTCATTTACACTTAGTTTGTCTGTCTGTCTTAATCCGAATTCCATAAGCAATCATATTCAGGCTAACGATCAAAGTGTAATTGCGCCTTAAGACGCAGCCGGGTGCGATCAACGTATGGTTTCATAGAAAATGTAAAGAAGCGTCGTGCCCGCGCCTTCTTTTCTATATATTTTGCGCCCCGACGATTCTATATATTTCGAAAGGGACGCGAAAGAAATATAATAATATGTCCGCGACATGCCCGCGTCATACGTCTTTTTTGTATGTCAGGCGCCCTATAGTAACTATTATATTATGGAATGCTTCCAGTTAAATCTACTATTGCAAAGATTTGTGAACTTTAAGGCAGTATCTCTGGCATTCGTGTGAAAGTTCGGGCTATATTTTATTTAATATAATCTCAAATAGAACAACTGAGAGCTACGTTAAGAAAATCTTCGAATCCTATTGTGACAGTTCCGTTTTGTTGAGTATCCCTTACTCTGAAAGCTTCAGTAAAACGTTGGATCTGCACGCATAGAACAATAAATTGGTCCACTGATATCTTTCCATCCTTCGTATCACTTCTCTTCGCTAAAAAGTTTATAAAGTCTGGCGAAAACTTGAAACCCATTTGGCTTAGTGCTGAAAAAAAATTGCTTAATTAATTTGTATTACTATTTTTGCGTTTGAATAATCGCACGAATAATTACCCATAGCTGTGCTTGTAACCCAGTTAACTATTACTTAACCAAGGCCGGAATCGAACCCTTCAAATTTTAACTATTTGGCTAGTGGACTGTAAGAATTTAAAAAATATTCTCTATATATATCTCTATTGCGATTCTGTGTAAGTGAAAATTTGCGTAGAATAGGACTGTCTTGCTTTATGAACAATCAGGGGCCATTCGCCTAACGGAAATGCTTTGGAAAACGCTAACGCTTTCGATTTTATTTTGTTATTTCTGACCGCCGAAGGTTTTCAAATACCTCACGCTCATTTTTTTAACATTATTATTACCAATGCAAAAGAAAAAAAAAGAGCGCGAGGCATTTGAAAACCTCAGGCGGCTAGAAATAACAAAATGAAATCATAAGCGTTAGCGTTTTCCAAATCATTTCCGTTAGGCGAATGGCCCCCTGGTAGTTATTAGAAGGATGGGGAAAAATGCCTTTATAGATGATGCGGCAGCAAAATTTGTAACCAACTTAACCTAATCCCCAACTCCGTCGGTGGGTCGAACCCTCGAAAAGATAATAGGTACACAGTTTCTCCGTGGTCCTAACATCCGTTTAAATCGCTTAATCTAATAAATAAATTCAAGACATTGTCTTAGTGTAGGATGCACCTTTGCTTGTAGATCATTGATGAAAGTTATTAATCTTACAATATCCGATGTCGATAATTGGTAATTGTTGGGTCTGTACAGACAAGTTAAAATTCACCAATTACGAACGTCAGCATAATATAAGCATTATGTTTAATAATATCAAGTTTCTTTCTCAAGTTACTAACCTTTAGATAGCTCTTGTTCATCAATATGCCCAGATTGGTCTGTATCATATGTTTTGAAGACGGCTAACCATTGATTGATGTAAGTATAAAGTTTATCAAACTCCTCAAGATTTATGTGGCCTGAACGGTCCTTATCGAACATTCCTGTAACGAAAAATATAGCTATCTATTCCGGAGTTAGGATCAAAATAACTATAAAGTCGCAATACTTATAAATAGTTAAGTTTAACTTGACAAAAATGTTATCCCATCTATGGATTTGGACAGAATCGCATAAAAACTTTTTTAGCAAAACTCTGTGGCCTGGTAAGTGCGTTGTAACAACTACTTCAATGTATAATCTGCGCTAAACTTACCAATCATTAAATTACATGCTGTCTCCGAAAAAGTTTTACCCTGCGCGTTCACGAGCGCCGATTTCAACTCTATAGCAGATATTTGCCCAGACTGGTCCTTGTCAACAGCACGGAACCATTGCTGGACTTGAGGGGCGATGTTGCCGCTATCTCCGACAGACGGATACGGACCGTGGCCCATTTCAAGCCCTCCGCCTTGTGGTTGCCCTCCATATCCTGGTTGACCGTATCCAGGCTGAAATAATATTAAAGATACAGTACCTAATAAGAAAGGCAGAACATAGGGAAATTTTCGGGATTTTCTTCGTGACAAACTAGATTTTTCAAAAGGAATAATTTTTCTTGTGATCAAACTGTCTTACTCTTCTGTCTAACGTGTATTCAAACGTAGCTAAACAAGCTATGAAACCGGGACCGTATCGTAATCTATTCTATTAAGTGATATATCTATTGGACGGTTCTTTTCGTCTACACCGAAGAGAAGCAAGGGCAGGGCACTTGTATTTTATATAGAAAGTCATTGGGAGACCAACAGCTATAACCTTTTTCCTCAAATTAATGCGGGTGAGCCCGCAGGGCACCTGTAGTAAAATTAGAATAGGCATTAATGTTTAGCAAGTTTGAATACACTGATTTTATTAATTTAGTGTCCTCCGAGAGGTCACTGTGGAAAACGTAGGGTACATAAACATTTGGCAGGACCTTTAAAAAATTATAGCCAGAAGGATAAATTTATAACTGTTAGTCGAACGCTACAACTCTCTGAATGTGGGCTCTCAGATGAAACTCCTCAATTACCATATTATATTACTAAGAAAGAATATTATTTATTTAAAATTGTAGTTCATAATACTTCGAAGGAAAATACAAGGTTTTGTGTAATAAGTTTAACACATCAACATTAACACAATATTTGTCTGGTTTAAAAATTAAAACAGTGAATATTGTTTGGATAAATTTATTCTAAAAAGTAAGTATAAATACTTATCTTAACACTATATACATTATGTAAACAATGTCAAATCGTAAATATTAGTAGATATAGCTAACGCTTTGCAAACCCTTTTGTATATTAAAAAATAAATACAAGACATATTGGTCGTAGTTGTAGGGTAATTGCTATAACTTTGTGAAAAGCTTTATATTATATTCCTTGCTCCCAGTAGTATTCCCGAGTAGTTTTAAACTTTTTTTAACAGTAGCAGGTACCTACTGCTTAAATTTTTCTTCCAACGGAGTAAGAACAGAAAGTAAAATGGGAATAGCTAAATTTAAAAAGACACCGGTATGAAGTTTTACTATTGCACGATCATCGGTAATGAGACTTATGGTAATGGAGGAGTAATACGGTGCTGAGCTCTACATCGCATAATTGAATGTACTTAATTACTAATTAATTAATAATAAAACGCATGATGTAAGTAAACTATGCATTGTCGATCGGTAAATTTTGCGAACAGTGGAAAGTCTCATATACTACCGCTAAACCTTTTGGAAAAAAAAATTATTTGTGAGTAGGTACGTACTAAAGAAAACTACTTGGCGTGACTACTGGGAACAGAGGTGATTTTCATAGAATGGTGTAGATATTCAATTTGGCTAAAGTATTATTGTTAAATTTGTGGGTTAGATATTTAGGAATCTGGCAATTGGTTATCTTAAAGCTACTATTTATAAAAGTTAATACACTTTAGGTAGTAATCGAATCACACTCTAAGACAGCTGCTAAAAAGAAATGTGAAATTTAATTTAAATTATAATATAAATTAATACGGTCCTATTTTGTGTTGTATTTGTGCTGTTTACAAGAATAAGTGCAAAGTAATACATTATTAAGGAAAAGTCTTTTGAGTTACACTATTGGGTTTCCTTCTCAACTTAAAAAAAGACAGTAGATTTAATGATTCAACAGTAGGTATCTTATAAAAGTTACATAGGACAACTTCTGTTAAATGTTCTTACAAATAGGTACAAACAAAGGTAGGTTATGTCTTTGAAAAATCGAAGCTCACTTTTTCCAATTACATGTTAATATACTTAAAACGCTAGTTAACAGATAGTGCACTTGCATATTGACTATTGGAATATAGACAGTCTAGTATAATAATAAATCTATATCCCTACTCCAAATGGTCAGCTTCATAAAAATCGAAGTGTGAAGACTGATCAAAATTATCGAAGATACATAAATTCAATTTTATATGCGCTGCTACATAATCATATTGTTGTAGCAGGCCAGAGTGGTCAATATTATCGAGGCAACATAATTCATATTTATTTTATGTGTAAAAGAAAATCAAATTATATATTCGCGAATAACTGTTCAATGGTTATCTAAGCACACAAAAATATCTTGGTAATAAAGAAAGTAAACGCTAATCTGAAGTATTATGGTTCTTATGTTTTCATTTCGTGCAAGTTAGTTGCACGTTCAAACGTTAACCTACTCAATTGGGCACATCTCCACAATATTTAGATGACTTTAAATGCAAAGATATAATTGAACCTTTGCATTTAACATGTATTTGACCACCTTATTACCTCATATTTTTATAAAGCTGACTGTACTTATACGTACTCATAAAATGCATTTCTGGAGCCGTACCACAACCCTTAATGGGGCGGCTGGTTACTGTACTTGATGCTGGCACTTCAAGTGGCTTTTCGTTTTTATTTTGTAAATTTGACAGATTTCTGTCCTTCTCATTCCTTAGAGCATGATAAGGATTAATACTATTCAATAACTGCAATCAACTGCTATCACATTTACAATCAAGTAAAGTGCTAGCATAAAGTGCCATTAAGCTTGCTTTTTTAGGTTCACTGCAATATTAATATTTTGAATCACGTTAAGGGTTCATGGTAGGCCATTACTTTAAGGCCTCAATGCTACTACAACTCACACATTCAGTGTCGTATTCTTAAAGAATATATTAACATGGTAAGTAACATTTGAAAACTTCGTGAGTAAAACCTATTTCCCAACTCGGCGTCAAAAAATCACACCTCCGCGTAAATCACTCCCAAGCGTAATATTAGTGGTATCATTTGAAATCCTATTAAAGAATTTCAATAAATATTAGGTTTATTTTATTAACAGATAAACTTACCACTACCACCAAATATGATTTAAAGAGGAATAAAAATGTATGCTTCCAAAAGAGTTCCTAGTGCGCTACCTATTGTGAGTATAAAAAGGTACATGTATAATTGGGTATCGAACCGTCAACCTGATGATCGTTCACAAGAAAAACCACATTGAAGATGTAAGCCACTTCTGATGAAGCTGCCCAAGTTATTGCACTACTGCAATCGGAGATGTGGCAGTGTGATGTTGCTTGGCAACTGAACTGAACCGTATTTTGGTTCGAAGAGTATTCCAGTGGTTCCAGCAGACCTGCACCGATGTCGTCGTCAAGACGTCGCTGCACCTTGACAAGAGACGACCAATACATTGTATCGACGTCTGGGAAATCGGTTCTCTATAATGCTGTTAACTTGCACTAGCAGCTCTAGGTAGCTCACAGAACAACCGTGACCGCTTCTACAATTAGACGAAGACTGGAGGAGAAAAGCTCGTAGAGCTGCTACAGGTTCAAAATTTACTCTTTATCAATGGACTGCTGTTCTCCTTTCAGATGAGACAAAGTGTGCCTTTTTTACGAAGAGTATCTATATAGAAGGCTGGGGAACGTTTTGGCCAAGCTTGCATCCGGAAGACGGAAGAATACAGTGGCGGTTCCTGTTCGTAACTTTCAAGTAAAAATTATTACTTTGAAGTGGATTTTTCAAGCGATGCCATTTTTTTGACGTACTTAGTGTATTTTGAACAGCGTTGAATATAATTTTATAACATTGGTCACAAAACAATTTTAAGAGAGCCTGATAATATTTTTGTAAAATGTCAAGTTGTTTTTATAAATGACAAAATTAGGCCCACACAAAACGGCGGACTGTCACGAGCAGCAGGGTATTTTAAATATACTGATCAACAATATTAAAGACCCAATACATAATATCTTTCAACATTAAGTAAAGGTCTGATCTTTTTCATCTATATGTTAAATCAAATCCTACCCTGCCGTCACCCAATGTGCACTGGCCAAGCGTGTAATGATTATGAAGAGTTTGTGAATGGCTCAGCAAAGATATTGAGTATAAATGTTTTTGATAGGTAATCTAGTTATCTATACCTTTAATCTATCTTAGAATCTTATTTTAATTTTAAAACTACAAAATTTACATTTCTCCATATTTTGGATGGTTTCTGTGTTCCTTTGTGTGTGGACTATGACAACTGTTACTTTGTTAAATAAAACCTTTCATAAATAAAATTGTAGTACACAAAGTCACTTTTAGATTGATGGCAGGCAATAAACAATGTTTTACATCTTGTTCTCTTTACTTGATTACCTAAAAATATGTACTACAATGTTAATGATAAAGAACAAATATATATAATTAATTATGTGAATTTTTAAATATTACTATCCAAGCTTTTAGGAAAATAATAAAGATTGTTAACTTTATAATAACTTGGGTGCACAGAGTAGATAACATAAATAGTAGCAAAATTAGACCTTCATGCAAAAAAAAATAACAAATACATGTTTACTAAATACAGCTGTTTTTGAAATATGTATCAAGAGATATAACTTAAAATTGTATTTACAAATTATCTCCTATTGCATAGGTTTGCCTGCTATTTAATTAAATATTTATTTCTATGAAAATTAACAATATTATACTTAAATGACATTCAGTCTTTTATATCAAAACCAATACTGGCAAGTTAGTTACACTTTGTACTAGAGCAAACAAGTTCATAGATGCCTAATAACAATGCTTTTTCACTAAATACATTGGTATAAAATATTAAAATAAAAGTTTTTAAAATGCCTAGGCACATTGAAACAGTACCAGAACCTGCCTAGTTAGCCTGCCTTCATTAGACCATCTATTCACAAATAAATAAAAATATGTTACAGATGTATTAAGTGAAAATGCACAGTAATGTAATTATAAATAAATTACTCTAGAATAATCATATATTTAGTTTTCATTCTAAACATTATCGCTGTGACTAGAAAAACTGTAAGTAGCTGGGGTTACAGAGGTATTTACACAAACTTGAATAGACGGTTTAAATGAAGAAGGTAGCAGTTTATGTGCTTCTGGCACAGGAGAATAACTGCGACACACAGCAGTTTCAAAATGAACCTGATCATTTCTCTCTACAGGTACACCATCAAAACTATTCTGCTTAGCAGAATCACCAGTTCCACTATCTTTGCAAGATGAATGTTCTGATATATTGTCTGGGAACATTTGAGGCGACTCACTATCACTATGTATCACTTGTGTCATTTTCATACTTTCGGTGGGATAGTTACGCACAGTACCAGCCATACGCCTACGAGTATGATATATTATCACTACCCAAATTATGGAAGTCCCAACAGCACAACAAACTACTGTTATTATAATTATACCAGTCATATCTTCTTCATTTACCAAAATTGCTACAGGGGGCAAGACCTGTAGTTCGGTCATATCTTTCTTTGTCCCCAAGTCATTTGTAATCTCACATTCATAACGACCTGCATCACTGGCTTCTGCACCGATTATGACCAACAACTGATCTTCAGCTGTTAAGAAGTGCCTTTCCGTGTGGCTTATTGGAGTACCATCTTTTAACCACTTTATTACTGGCTTAGGGGAACCTGATATCATACACTGTAAAACAACAGAATCTCCAGTAATCACTTCTTTATTTTCCATCACCCTCACAAATGATGGTTCCTGCAATACTGTTAATGTAGCATTTGCTATTATTGTCCCTGCAGGATTTTTAGCAGCACAACTGTAAATACCCATGTCAGTTGTCTTAGCATTTACAATAAAGAAAAGATGATCAGCTGGCATCACATTCATTCTTCTTTCTCTAGCTGCTGGGAAGTCATTGCCCCCGTCTTTCTTCCAAGAAATTTCAGGTGTTGGATCCCCTGTAGCTGCACAGTTCAAAGTTACAGTCTCTCCTGTCTTTACTGTCACATTAGTAGGTGTTTTAATAAATTTAGGGAAGGTGACAATATTTACTTTAGCTTTAGATGAATAGGTGGTGCCAAAGTTGTTGCTCACTATACACTGGTATTTTCCTGAATCAGCATGAGTAACATTAGGTATGACTAAGACAGATGTAGCTCGAGATGGACCACTAGTTGCTAATGACACATTCTCATATACTGTGGGATTACTGATGTTTCCATTATTTTTCCTCCACAGAAAGGTCATATTACTGAAGGGATTAGATGTTGCAGAACAAATTAAATTTGCAGGTCTACCTTTTATGGCAAGATGAGTTTTAGGATGTTCCACAACCTTAGGTTTAGGCGAATCACCACAATTTTCTTCTCTAAGTTTTGTTATTGATTGGCCCCTTACTTCAGCTGGGTAAGCACAGGTAGCAGTAATATATTTATGTTCAATTTTGTCTTTTATCCATTTTACAATCCAAATGATATTACAATCACATAATAATGACGATGAGTTCATATGCAGTTTCTTCAACTTAGACACTGAACCAAATGCATGTTGCTGAATTGAAGTAATGTTGTTGCCCGTCAGATCCAATTCTATGAGATTAGATAAACCTTCAAAAGCTCTTGAGTTTATAGATTTAATGTGATTGGCTGCTAAACTAAATACCATTAAGTTATGCAATTTAGAAAATGGTCCTGACATATCTTCTACAGTCCAAGATATTTTGTTATTATTCAAAAGCAATGATTTTAGTTGTGTCATATGACTAAATGCTTCTTGAGAAATTGAAGAAATGTTATTATAGCTCAAATTAAGGATTTCCAAGTTTTTCAAATGCTGAAATGCACGGCCTTCTATTTCCATTAAATAGTTGTGCGATAAATTTAACAATTTCAAATTTGCACATAGCTCCCAACTGCCAGGATCTATTTCTTTGATCAAATTATTTGACATTGATAAAGTTGTTAAAGATTCAAGTCCATACATCCACCCTTTGGAAATACTTCTTATTCTATTATGATCCAACTGTAGTAAATTAACAGACTTAAATCCAAAAAAGGCACCATCCATAATATCATCTATATTATTGTATTTAAGTTTCAATGTGGTCAAATTCGATAATCCTTGAAATAGCAGGCCATAGATAATATGTAATTTGTTATGATTAAGTTCCAATGTCTTTAGATTAGATTGATTTATAAATAAATGATTGGGCAGGGATTCAATTTCATTTCTATTCAATTTTAAAACTTCTAAGTTGGACAAGTTATTCAGAGCTCCATCTTCTATTATTTTAATGTGATTGCTGTTCAAATTCAGAGCTTTGATCGAACTGTTTGCTGGAAAACATCCCGCTTTTATCGAGCTAATACTATTTCTATAAAGGCTCAGTTCCTGTATTTGTTTGAGTTTTAGAATAATTGGTATATTGTTTAACACATTTTTGTCCAGCTTCAGTTTCTTTAAATTAGTTAATTTACTGAAACCACCAGTAACATTTTCTCTCAATCGATTGTTACTGAGATCTAATTGTTCCACCCACTGAGGAATTTTTGGCACAGATACGAGATTCTTTCTTGAACAATCAACGTATTTCTGCAAACAAACGCATTTTTGAGGGCATTCAAAGCTTTCATTATCGATAGATGCTCTTACTATAACAATCACAAGAAAGAACAACAAATACGAGTCTCCCATTTTTATTCATTTGTATTGCTGCTGAAATCATTGATGAAGAGAACCAAGATTTGCGTCTTTCTTCTTACATAATTTAGAAAGTACAATTAGCACTCTTGTAAAATTCCTTTTATGATTCACTTTAATAAATCGCAGTTCACACAAATATTGCATTTTAACAAAAGTAACGACGGCAAAATCGTAAAACAATACATGGAGTTCGAGACGCTTGACTCGGACGCCATTTTCTTTTTACGATTTACATTACATAGTGTTGCTAGACTTAAAATAAAAAGCAGTGGTGACCTGCTGCAAAAAACCGTAAGGCAGAATAGTCGCGCAAAGTTAAAAAAAAAGCGCACACTACCGCAAAAAAACGTTCAGTCTTTATACCATAGGATTTATAAAACTATTCTAGTTTCGAAAGCGTTCTCAGATGATTCAAACCCATCAAACATTACATAAGTATTACGATATTTCTATCATATTACCATAGTTTAGGCAAAAGATGAGTCGGAAAATGTTAGTTTCAGTTCATAAAATAACAAAACGCATTCTAAAATGCACTCAAGTTTCCAGTTTTTTAATCTGTTTTAGAAGACGATTAAATAGTCCGACACCAAGGAACTTATATACTAACTGGAATGCTTATGCGACCCCCAAAATCGTTCCGAAGAGCAAAGCTGAATTGGAGGTGTGTCTCGTTCTAGAAATGTGCCCAAGCATTTACTTCATTGATGAGACAATAATTTTCTTTGAGTGAAGCAACCTTCTAATTTTCAATTCTATATCATTAGCTTGAAAGTCCAAAAAATATTAAAATCTTTAAAAGACCTTCCGAGCTTATTAAGTATGTCGCTATATGTATTGCATCTGTTTTTTATCCAACATTGAACACGATTAACGGTTCTCAAATTTTCATTTGTCAAACGATACGTTTTTCATTAATTCTTATGTATACTTTAGATACCTACCTAGGAAAAAAATTAAAGTATAACCATTGAATAATATTTATTTATTATTTAAATTACAGATTATTACTTTAAAAGCTTTAAAAAACACGATGCATCGTTTTATCAATTGATGTTTAGTTTTCAACTTAACGAATTAGGTAGATTTGTCTTCAGTTTTTGTCCTCGAAAAAAGTAATATAATATATTTTCTATAGTGTTTATAGTAGTATAGTATAAATAAATTGCAATAGTAAAATCCGTTCAACAGTTCATTCATAACCGTATAACATGTTATTTTTTTGATGAGCATATATTTATGTAACTAGCGGCCGCCTGCGACTTCGTATGCGTGGAGTAAGTTATCTGCACATACTTTTTCACCCCAAAAGGGGGTTTATTTCTAAAGATACATTTTTAGTACATCTATGACTTTTAAAAACAACTATTATTATATTTTTAAATCTCATAGATGGCGCTGCTTTAAAATTGTCTATTATGTTTATCGGTCTAAGTTATTTATAGTGTGAAGCTAGCTTATAGCATGGATCGTGGAAATTAAGCAACTTTCGCAGTGGTCGATTATTAGATGGGTGACCAAAATTATTCATACTTACTAGAGTTCCTCCGTGCTTTGGAAAGCACGCTAAGCCGTTGGTCCCGGCTGCAACTGCAGTCGTTAGCACCCACCAATCCGCACTGGGCCCGGTTGGTGGATCTTATCCATAGGGAAGGACTGTACCCCACGAGTTAATTAATACGCTGGTTATGACGATGACATATACTTTCCGTAAGAAATCGAAAATGTATTGTCACCCTACACATGTAATTTGTAAACAGAAGTCAAAAACGTACCTATTGTTTAAATTCCACACCCAGCATACGCCTCACTTTTACACCATTGTGCATTAAAAAAATATCATTTTGCACCAGCAAATTACAAGAATTTCATCAAAATAATTAGTAGTTAGCATTAATAGGACTTCAATCCGGCAGAATATTGCCATATTGTTTATTGGAAGCATCGCAAGTGTTCTCATGCATAAATGCAAGTTACTACTAATGACTACCATTTTAAACAATTTTATTAGATACAGTTTGTCTATAAAGTCGTGACATTAAATGATGGCGCCACTAGTATGCATGTAGCAACCCTATACAGTCGGACCAAAATGATTTTGATATTGTATGTTATTCGTTTAAATAAAAATAAACTCATTTTTTGTTGCATTGATATCAATAAATTAACTGCAATCAAACATAAATTCTAATTTAACTTTGAAAATGTATGTTCTAGTTCTTATTAATGGTGATCGGGATAATGTGAAAACTACCATTTGATTATTTTTATTAGCACTGACAATTGCAAGAAGGGGACAAACTCCACTTTCGTCGTTGTCCTGCTCGGAACATTTTTCCCTCTTATGAAGTTAGAAACAAAAATGTACTTCATGTAACACTGCTTAGAGTACATTTTTTGAAATTTAATATTGTTTCGTAAGCATTCCAGATAGAATATAACGAGCCGTTACCGCCAAATTATCGTAAGCGACACTTTTGTCGAAATGCGTTTTTTGTGGAAACTAATATTTTAAACCGTAACGGACCCATCTCTGTTGATATTTCTCTCTATTCTTCCCTCTATTATATTATAACGGTGTTCTTTTGGAGGGAAATATCAACAGAGATGGGTCCGTCCGTCCGTCCGACGGTTTAAAATATTAATTTCCAAAAAAAACGCATTTCGACAAAAGTGTCGCTTACGATAATTTGGCGGTAACGGCTCGATAAGTTCCTTGTCCGCCACATTATTACGTCACACCGCATCAGGGTTGCCAGACGTACGAGAAATCTCGTACCATTACGAGATTTAGAGGGTCTGTACGAGATTCAAGATTAACAAAAATCTCGTACACTTTTTTACGAGATTTTAACAATGTCGACTTCTTTCGTATACCAATATCAGCCAAAAAGTTAGTTTAGTTAGTAGTAGTAGTTAATATGCAAATTTATTTACTTTCTCTTATCATCAACCATCCCACATAAAACGATCGACTCGGCGCATCACTAAATGAACTACCTTATCACTAAATGAAACTTGACAACTTTGAGTGGGGAATTCCCGTTCATAATATTCTTTAGTTGTTGTCCTTATTACACTAATGTTTTGCTATATTTGTGTGTCTCTCTTACTAAGAGCTATATTGAAGTTAATAGATTTTTACTTTACCGTCTGCTTTTGTTGTTGAAGTTTCGCAAGTTTCCGTGTTTTGTTATTTAACGTTTTTAATTACGAAATGAGTGACAGCAGTGACAGTGAATCGTCGTCCACTCCACCTAAAAAAGTACCTAAAAAGGGAGGATGGACTGCAAAGAAAAAAGGTGAGACACTTTTTGAACATCATGCCCAAAAATTTCGGGATGAGTGGTTAAAACATCCGATGTTTAGAGACTGGTTAGAGCTGGCTCTAACCGGTTGGCCAGTTTTGCCCTCGCAGTCTTGGCTTTGCCTCATGCAAATGCAGACTGTGAGCGGGTATTTAGTAAGACAAACCTAATAAAAGCAGATATAAGAAATCGTCTTATCACAGTTACAGTAAATGGTACACTTTTAGCTTCCGAAAGAGCTAAAGGCCCAAATCGCAAAGGTAATAGGGAAAATGCATATATAATATTTATGAAAATTTTATGATTAAAATGTTAAAAAAATATAAAAGAAATGCCACTGCAACGTTTTTATTTTACATAATGTTGTTTTTTAACAATTATTACGAATTAAAAATTCTTGAAACGGAACGTATTTTAAAACACCAATCAGCGTTGTGACGTCACTCCTGTTATGACAACTTCTTTGAGGTTATGGTTGTTAAAGTAAATATTATTTTATGGGAATATTTATTGCGTTTTTTTACGTTTAATAAAAATGAAAGTTGCGTTTATCAAAGCAGACTCCAGGAATTTACCAAGAGTTATCGTTGACATGGTTATAACTTTTTTTGTCCAAAGTGCAGAGTTTTTAGGTTTAGAAATGAAAGGGACTAAATTACTACGGTGTGTAAAAATCGTAGTTGTTAAACTTCGTATTTTATTCAGCGGCTTCTACAAATCTTACGGCGATAATGCAATCGGCTATGTCCAAATTAAAAGAGATGGAAAATGATGTACAGTAAAAGGTCCAGTTCTCCGGAGCATAAAGTACGTAAAGAAGGTTATCGTGTTACAGTTATTTTAAATGAAACGCAAAGCTTGGTTCAGTCCTGCCAATGTGAAGATTGTGCCACACTTTATCTAATTTTCGACGTCATTCTCAAACTGTAAAATTAAAAATATGTTATAGACAGGTTCTGTAAGTATTAGGTAGGTTACTAATGCGTTTTTACGTACAAGCGATTAATTAAGCATATAACAAGTATATTCGCCGACTTACGTCAAAGTGATCTTCTCAGCATCGAATAATGGTCTTTGGAGAATAATTGTCATTTCTCTTCGCAGCTTGAAACCACTTTTTTTCAGTTTTGGGTCAGAAGTTCCAGTCAAAAACAATTTATTTGGGAACTTTGTTGAAGTAGATTGGCACAAAACATGAGTCAACACGGCTTTTTTTTCGGAATATTAGTGGTATTGTTATGATCACATGATGTTGATGGATGGATACATTTTAAATTTTTCAAAAAAATATTTCGAAAGTCGAAAAAATATGCAAAAGTATGAAAATTTAAAGCCAGCAACGAACAATTACGACCAGTGACAGACAGGAGTGACGTCATCGCATCTAGGGTTCGTTTTCGCGCGAAAATTTAAATTGTCAATTTAAAACCGCATTTTTTCCGATAAATCACAATGTTTTAATTTTTTAATATATCTGTGGTTTATTCTACATGGAACTCTTTAAAATGAAAACAAAAATAAAAATATTGCATCTTCCCTATTGCGTAAATTTCGAACCATCAAAAGAAATGTACGCCAGAATGACAGCTGAAAAGCTATACTCTAAAAATAAAGATGATTTTACTAACATCCCTGATGTCGAATATAATTAATAAAAAATATGATTTTTAATTGTTTTGTTTGAATTTAACAGCCCCAAGCGCAAAGAATATGACTACACAAGTTACATAGTACAGTAAATAGCATAAAATCATTAATTTTATTTGAGTTTCTTTAAATTTATGCTTTTACGAGAATATCTGTTGAAATTACGAGATATTTAGCAACCCTGGTACGAGAAAAAAAATGTGACCTGGCAACCCTGCACCGCATTGTATATGCCAAAGTGTCAGCTGTCAACTCAGCACTTATCATGGAGGGTATAGAGTAGAACGATCGCTGAAGAAAATAGTGCCCCAGAAATATGGACAAAATAAGTGAGGCGCTGCGATCGTTAAGTTGTCTCAATAAAAGCGGGCTGTGGTGCGCTAATTAGAAATTTTACATTATTTAACTAACTTGATCTACTTGTACTGATAAACAGCTAACTTCACAGATACTACATACCGACGCACATTGTGTTATTTCACCTCAAAATTACCACTCCCTTGATTAAAGGTGAATCAGATAAAGCTCTCCATTCTAAGCGCAAGAGTAAAACTCCCACGATTCTAACTACAATAGTTTCGACGAAATCCCGGTTTTTCTTTTTTTGTACCACATTGTGAAAAAGAAATAAAAAAAAATTGTCTAAACTATTACAGTTATTTTATTTTTTACATTGTATTTCAAAAGGTATTATTTTTATCCATATTATGAGTCTTCTATGGCTGCCCTAGAGCTTGTAGGAACCGAGAAATCGGCGATTTAGTGATTTTCGTTTTTAATTTTTTGTGCTCATGTTATGCAATATTAAAGCTTATAATTTAGTTCAAAATGTAGCTAATAATGTAGACTATCAACTCAAAAAATAACAAGCTTTAACTCGGTGGTATATCGGAAATATTAAGAATTTAAATTTGTGGGACAATGTCCCACATTTTGAAGACTTAATTTTGAAAACGTAGTTATGCTACTTTTTAAATATTATACTATAATAACTATATAAATACGTTGTTATTATATTATTTACTATTTAAATAAGATTATAAATGTGTTTGGTATGTTTGTTACATAATCATCCACTTTTGTGGGCCAAGTTGTTTGGATGAAATGTGGCACACAGGCATTAAGTTCTTCCCTATTAAGTGCAAATAAACAAATAAATCTGTTTAAACATTATCTGTCGTAAACACACTGTCTTCGTTATGAAGAACAGTTGTGAATTCATTTTCTTCACTTTCTATGCATGCAGTTTCGTCGTCGACATCACTGTTATCGTCATATAAACATCCCGAACTGTCCGGTTTTAATAAATTTATTACAGCCTGTGGCAGTGGCATTCTCATTCGGTTATTTTCACGATGTTTTAGCCGTATAGCCGATATCACAGGGTCGGATGACTCGAGCGCCCTGTGAAATAAGTCGGTCATGGTATGAACCCTAGAATCTTTCCGGCTGTGATGTTCTCTGTCCTGACGCCAAAACTTGTTCCTGGATTCTCCTGCCTGTTCGGAGAGTAGTCCAATGGGTAGCGCTGAATTCTCTATAATTTTCTCTCCGTGAATTAGGATTTTGTGAAGGGTAGTAGTCATAGGGTGCCAGTTGTAGTTTTCTACGTATTTTTTAGCTATATTTTTACAAAAAGACGAGAAAATAGACGCCCAAAAATTCGGTACTTTTTGT